CCCAGAACACCTTGGCAACCACCCATAATACCCTAGCAACTGCATAGCAACCGCATAGCAACTACCTAGAATACCCTGACAACCAACTAGCAACCACCCAGAACACCCTAGCAACCGGGTGGTGAGTTTTGCCACTGCAAGCACCACTTCACATTTTCCTCTGGAAATGTACATTCTAGTTCTTCTTCTTCTTCTTCTTATTATTATTCTGGCCACTTTTTGGTTCGCTACTCCTCCCGCAGATTTTGTCACAGACCCATGGGTGAGGTGTCAAATCGACCGGCTCATTTAGGAGAGGTGTGCTATGACTTTTCTAAGAGATCGGGGGTACGATGTTCGCCCCAGGGGCGAAAAACGGCCAAAAAAAAACCCATAGACTTAACATGGCGAAAAAATTTGACGAGTCATAGCTCTGAGCGAGGATTTCGCAGAAACTTGCAATTTACCACATTTGAAGAGGCTGACAGGCTCTTTAAGAAAATACCTCACAATGGGGTAAAGGTTGCACCCCTGGGGGGCAGGAGCTCCCCAAATATTTTTCCCATTGAAATTTTCTAGTATAGCATTTTACTATTCCAGGAAAAAGTTTGGAGCACTCCTACGTCCACATTTTTTGTCACAGACCCATGAATGAGGCATCAAATCGTGCGGCCTATTGAGGAGAAGTGTCAAATGAATTTTATAAGAGATCAGGGGTACGGTGCTCGCCCCAGGGGCGAACAAATTTCCAAAAAATCCCATAGACTTAACATTGAGACAAACTTTGACGACTCATAGCTCCGAACAACGATTTCGGAAAAATGTGTGATTTTCCACATTTGAAGAGGCTTGCAGGCTCTGTAAGAATATACCTCACAATGGGGTAAAAGTTGCACCCCTGGGGGCAGGAGCTGCCCAAAATTTTTCCCCATTGACTTACTATGGTGAAGGACGTCCCATCAAATGCATGTGTTTTTCCTACTATGGTAAATTGCATAGGGATTTTGTATTGAACATAGCTCTGGATCACAGTGTCATAGAGACAAGGGGGCGGGCTCATTTTTACTCAGACGACCAATCAGTCTCTCAGGATCATTGTGATGCTATCAAGCCACGCCCTAGCAACCATATAGAGCACCTTAGCAACAACTCCCATAGACTTCCATTGAAAGAGATCAAAGGGATATCTCCGGATAGAAGTGTCATAGAAACACAAGGGTGGTCTTGTTTGACTCGGGGTAGCAAACAGCCAATCATGAATCACCTCAACAATTTCTGGCCACACCCTAGCAACCATTATCGAGCACCTTAGCAACCAAATTTTAAAGAGGGATATCTTCCATTCTGAATGTCATACAGGCTTGGGAGTTGTATTATATCAATTATACTGACAAGCAGCCTTTGGAGATTCATGATTGGCAGCTGCCAAGCCACTCCTAGCAACCAAAAAGAGTACCCTAGCAACCATTTTGCAAGGCCTACATCTCTGCATCAGAACATCGTATAGAGATGGGGGTTGGTTTATACATTCACATTGACTTTGGAGCTTCATGATTGGAAGCTGCCAAGCCACTCCCTAGCAACCAAACAGAGTACCCTAGCAACCGTTTTGCAAGACCTATATCTCTGCATCAAAACATCGTATAGAGATGGGGGTTGGTTTATCCATTCACATTGACTTTGGAGCTTCATGATTGGCAGCTGCCAAGCCACTCCCTAGCAACCAAACAGAGTACCCTAGCAACCATTTTGTAACAGCTATATCTCAGCATCAGAACATTGTATCGCGATGGGGGTTGGGTCTTTGACTCATGCTAGCAAACATGACTTGCTACATGCTACACATGCTAACAGTGAATAGCTACATGCTAATATTGATTAGCTAAGTGCTAAATCATGCCATGAACATTATAAAAACTCTATAGTAACCATATATGAACACTACCAACCACCTAGTAACACCATAGCAACCACCCAAAATACCATAGCAACCACCTAAAACACCCTAGCAACCACCTAGCAACACCATAGCAACCACCCAGAACACCCTAGCAACCACCTAGCAACACCCTAGCAACCATCCAGAACACCTTAGCAACACCCTAGCAACCGCCTAGCAACCATCCAGAAAACCTTAGCAACAGCCTAGTAACCACCTAGCAACACCATAGCAACCACCTAGAGCACCCTAGCAACCATCTAGCAACACCCTAGCAACCAACTAGAATACCCTACCAACCACCTAGCAACATCATAGCAACCACCCAGAGCACCTTAGCAACCATCTAGCAACACCCTAGCAACCACCCAGAACACCATAGCAACCACCTAGCAACACTCTAGCAACCACCTAGAACATCGTAGCAACCACCCAGAACACCATAGCAACAAGCTAGCAACACCTAGCAACACCCTAGCAACCACCTAGAACACCGTAGCAACCACCCATAACACCCTAGCAACCGGGTGGTGAGTTTTGCCACTGCAAGCACCACTTCACATTTTCCTCTGGAAATGTACATTCTAGTTATTATTCCGCTACTTCTTCTTCTTATTCCGTACAAATTTCGGCGCGCTACTCCTCCCGCAGCTTTTGTCACAGACCCATAAGAGAGGTGTCAAAACGTGCGGCTTGTTCGGGAATGGTGTGCTATGACTTTTCTAAGAGATCGGGTGTACGATGTTCGCACAGCGGACGAAAAAGCGGCCAAAAATGTCCCAAGTCATTTCCTATGGGGAATTTTCAAAAATTCTAATCCCAACTGTCACTTTCTCACAGACACAAAAAGGGGCCTGACAGCCCTATTTTGACAGCTATTTCAGCCATTAAAACTTTAAAATGTTGAGAAATTTGTCAGCTATTAAAGTTGTATTCAACTTTTTGATATCTATTATACTTTTTTCACAATCTCTACTTTAGTCTCATGATGTTTTTCAAGCCGTTTCTGAAATTATAATGGGAGTGAATGAGAGAGACTGTTCAGAGCTAGAGCACGTGATGTCATAAGCTAGAGTGAGCCAGCTTGAAAACTAATGCTAAAAAATAATTTTTAAATCGCTGGCCTGGCCACAATCTTCACTCTTTGGCCATGAAAATATACTTAAAACGTAGGTATTTTTGTTGTGGTTCCTCTCGTGTGTTTAGTAAATTCCTCGGACTTATAGTTTTTTCTCTGTGTCCTTCCAAACGACAGGAGTGACAGACTATCCTCCATTGGCAGCAATTATAAATTCAGGTCAAACTTTAGTAATCAGAGCATTACGGACCAGTTTTTTAACTTGCCAAAGTGGTCCCTTTTTTCAACTCTATCCACACAAAAAATACATCACAGCGTTCACAAAGGCCTTGTCTCGCTCACGGTCAGGTCATTTCGCTGATACAACCTATAGTTTTGTCTCTAGGGAGGTTTGTTCGAGGCCAAGTATCAGCGATTTTGACTAAACATTGGGGGATTTTCAAAAATTCAAATCCCAACTGTCACTTTCTCACAGACACAAAAGGGCCTGACAGCCCTGCTGTAGGGCAGACGTCTCTCTCTCCCTAGGAGGATTTATTTTATCAGGCAACCAATAAATAATGGCCTAAAATCTTCATGGTCACACCATAGCAACCAGTTACAGCACCCTAGCAACCGTGGGCGATAGGCACGAGGCCGCAGGCCTCGTGCCATACTAAATAACTCTATAAAAACTCTATAAAAACTAATTTTTGAGACTAAATAGTAATCATCTGTTAAAAAATACACGCCGACATCACAGACCCCTGATTGAGGCGTCAAATTTTGCGGATTATTGAGGAGAGGTGTGCTGTGACTTTTCGTAGCGATCGGGGGTACGGTGTTCGCCCCAGGGGCAAATCATTGGGTAAAAAAGTCCCATAGACTTTTAGTGTTTTTCCTACTATGGTAAATTGCATAGGGATTTTGTATTGAACATAGCTCTGGATCACAGTGTCATAGAGACAAGGGGGCGGGCTCATTTTACTCAGACGACCAATCAGTCTCTCAGCATCATTGTGAAGCTATTAAGCCACGCCCTAGCAACCATTTAGAGCACCTTAGCAACAACTCCCATAGACTTCCATTAAAAGAGATCAAAGGGATATCTCAGGATATAAGTGTCATAGAAACATGAGGGTGGGCTCGTTTGACTTGGGCCAGCAAACAGCCAATCATGAATCACCTCAACAATTTCTGGCCATGCCCTAGCAACCATTGTAGAGCACCTTAGCAACCAAAATCCAAAGAGGGATATCTTCCATTCTGAATGTCATAGAGGCATGGGAGTTGGTTTATATCATTCATACTGACAAGCAGCCTTTGGAGTTTCATGATTGGCAGCTACCAAGCCACTCCCTAGCAACCAAACAGAGTACCCTAGCAACCATTTTGTAAGACCTACATCTCTGCAACAAAACATCGTATAGAGATGGGGGTTTGCCTTCTGTCAACTAGTGTTTAAATATAATCTCATACACTGTATAATCACACCATAGCAACCATATAGAGTACCCTAGTAACCACCTGAACACATGAATAAGCCATTTCTCCGCTGAATAAGCCATTTCTCATCACACAAACATTGTACAGACATGTTTGGTGTCTCGTATGCAATCATGTACCACACTCTAGCAACCGGGTGGTGAGTTTTGCCACTGCAAGCACCACTTCACATTTTCCTCTGGAAATGTACATTCTAGTTACTATTATTATCATCAATGCTAAAAACGGTTGTGCTGCTTAATATTATTTTCTGGAAACTTATACATAATTTTTCAGGAATCTTTGATGTATATTAGAATGATTAAACCGCATTTATTTGTACAGCTTTTTAAATAGAAAATGTTTGTAACATTATAAAAAAATTTTACTGTCACTTTTGATCAATTTAATGCATCCTTGATAAATACAAATGTTAATTTCTTTTTAAAAAATCTTACAGACCCCAAGTTTTTATAAAACAGTGTAAATGCTTAATTTTAAATGTGTTCCTGACTACAGTGCTCTCTCTCTCTCCTACAGATTGCAGCCAACAGACTGTTTTTCTTCATCCAGTGGGATCTACTACAAACTTATCAACACACAACATCTCCTGCGATGGGACTGAAGTGGACTGGTCCCCTAACAGCATCCAACCGGGTATCTCTGAAGACCTCAACCATAACCATCCACAGTGGCTACAGATTGATCTTGGAGAAAAGAGGAGGATCACCGGTAATACTTGTAGCCTTCATAACCTGATCTCATTTTCTTACTTATTTACTTATGAGATTGTTCATCTATGGGTCACCCCCTATCTATGACACCTCCTTAATGTGCAGGTTTGGTTTTCTTGCATGATGGGAATCCAAATCCAATGCACATAATTGAGAAGGTTGTCTAATTCAGAGAGAAATGTAATGCTATAATTCTGCATTCACACCATGTCATAATTAATTACGAGATGACAACCCGTGATGTTCTTCGGTGGTCATGTGGTACAAGTCGGAGCTCTCCAAAATTCAGAGTTGTGATTGACTTTGTCCTCACCAGCATTTACTAATAAAGTTGCCAGCCAGCATTTTTGATCAATGAACAGTCAATATATAAAAAGAAAGAGCAGAGCCTCTGCTTTAAAAAAATGTAAATATCTAAGCTTTATTCATAAATATTGGTATTTTATGATATGGAAAATAATTATGATAATTTTTTTGGCCATATCGCCCAGCCCTACCTAACACCTGATTGGTGGGAAACGAGTTAAGTGAGGATGTGAGCCTCATAATTTCCATAATTACAACATATCTTGAACACACCTTCAGATCCCAACACACACATACACAAACATTATGTAAAACCCAAGGTTTCCAGGGGGTGTTAAGTGTGGTAATTATCCACACAAAAGGTCTTTCTCGTGATCTGCTCTGGAGGAGCATTACACACCCGGAGCACATGAGCGTCGACAAACCCCCCAACAACTAACTGGTATCTGCATAACAGTTCCTGGTATTGCATAAAAGCAGAAAAGGCCCACTGTGTCCATTCATCACACATACAAACCCGCTTACAAAAGCACATTTAAATTTAGCAACACGCCGGACATGCGTTTATTTTGAGCATGACTGTTTGTAGACAGCACAACCGAGTTAATTTCATACAAAAAGAATGCTCACTTTGTCTCCTGGAGGGAATCTGCGCTTTTGGACATGATGACCCTGAGTGAAACCGGCCCGTCTTAAAGAGGAAGCACTGCTATCATTGTGAGGCTAAATAAAACTAGAGAAAAAGCACGTCTTTATCTGTGGGGTCACCGCTCCGCATTCACACGATGCTTTCTAAGAAAGATTTTGTCAACAAGCATGAAAAATTACATTGCTGTAGGGTAATGTTGAATGAGCCACAAAAAGCCATTTTACCATGTTTGGATCACCTTTGAACATGGTAAAATTACTGTAATGTACTGTCATTCAAAAGTTTGGGGTTAGTAAGATTTTTTTTTTTTTTCTTTTGAAAGAAATGATTACTAATTATTGCACTGCAAGGATGTGACCTTAAAGACATTTTAAAATGTTACAAAAGAATTCCAATTTAAATAAATGCTGTTTTTTAACTTTCTATTCATCAAAGAATCCTGAAAAAAATGTATCGTGTGTTCCAAAAAATATATTGATAATAATAAATGCGTATCATTTCTGAAGGATCATGTGACACTGAGGACTGGAGTAATGAATGAAAATCCAGCTTAGAAAAATATTTAAAATCACAATATTATTTATTAATTTTACTGTATTTTTGATCAAATAAATAACTGCTTGGTGAGCATAAGGGATTTATTTTAAAAACATTAATCTTACCGACCCCAAAATTTGTGACCAGTAGTGTGTTTTGTGTGCGAGTTGGATATACTGTACGTATAATAGTTAGCAATTCATCTTGTAGTGGTATTGAGGATTTCTAAATCTGCAGGATTTTGGTGGTAATACTGGTATTCGGAATGGGATACACTCTTAGAAGAAAAGGTTCTATCAGCGCTATGTATTTGGAACCCCTAAAAGGTTCTATACACTCTTAAAAAAGGGTACCTCTGGGTTCTATATAGAACCCTGGGGTTCCATACTTGGCCAATAGAACCTTTTACCAAAAAAAAAAAATGGTTCTATATAGAACCATTTTGGAGTTCCATATGTGAAGCGGGGGATGGAACCATTTCTGGTTCTAAATAGAACCATTTCTTCTAAGAGTGTATACTGAAATTATCCCACTTCTGAACACATAATGCTTTAGTCATGCTATATTCCAACTATAACCAATGTAATTCCCCAAAATAACCAATGAAATGTTGCTTTACTAGCTGCCATTTTAGAAATAACATCAATTGACACTTCTCACCAGCGTCGAATGTCTGATATTGAGTGGGTATTTTTCACGTAGGAATTTCAGATCAATTTAGAACCGCAATTATGCATCTAATACTGTTTAGTTTTCAGTATTTTCATCTTTGACCACAAGAAGGGCCATCACTGTCATAAAATGGTTCTTTAATTTTGTAGCTTTGATTCTTTAGTTTTGCTTCCTTTTTCTTTAGGTAATGGCGTCTCTTTGAACTCTTCAAGCTTTTCTCTGATGATGAGTAATTTCCTTTCTCAACTTTCATGTGTCATCACACTTCAGTCTCACAGCTTCACACTTTGAATTGCACTTATGATCACGGTGGTGTCCTCACGTCTGTGATGTAGTAATAACAGAGCTTGTGGTCTTCAGTTGGTGTTTCAGTGTCTGCTGGGAACATGCCACTTGAGTGTTTCCCTCAGGAATGCGTTTTGTAGCCCGAAAGAGGCCGACCGCAGGTTTCCACTGTGATGCAGATGACGGGCCGCTCTCTGAAGTGAAGTCTTTAGCCTACATGCTGTCACATTCCTCAGATGGCGGAGCGAGTGCATCACTGTATCAGGAGAATGACCTTTTGAGAAATGCTGTGTGACTAGACTAGACATTGAACTGAACGGTAGTTTTTTATGCGTTTCAAATGAAATAATTCGGGGTCATGTTTTTGTTTCATAGGCATTCTGACAACAGGCTTGACCATAGCAAACACTGAATATTTTGTGAAAAACTACAAGATCGAGTACAAGGAGAGAAACCGCTGGCGGACATTTGTCCAGTACAATAACTCTGATGATATGGTAAGACTTTGTCTTTATATCACTCCATCATATATTCAATACAACTGTAAATGGCATTTTAACTTGTGTTTTCCCTTAGACTTTTGAAGGAAATACTGACAGCCTCCACCAAACACGCAACACCTTCCATCCCTCCATCGTAGCACGAAGCATTCGTTTCGTCCCTCAACAGTGGCACAGAATAATTGCCGTGAGATTGCAGCTACTGGGCTGTCCTTATGTTAAACCCATCCCAGGTGCGTGTCAGACACACAAAGGCTTTACAATTTCATTATTCATATTAAATGTTTACTAAACCTCAGTTTTTCCTCATGTAGTGAATTCATCGTCTCAGGTGACACAGGAGGCCCAGCCGACACAGCCCATTCACAATGACATGACCAAACCAGTGCCCTCTCAGGCTGATCTTGGTACGGTTTTAAGAACGCACACTAATCGCTCATTAATTAATACAGATTATGTTACAGAAGTACTGGACAGATGTCTGAGAATGTGCAAATATTTCCTCCCTAAGCTTATTCAAATTTCAACTAAAAGAACTATTTTTTTGTCTGTCAGTGTATTGGTTGTCCTTATCTAACTCAGGGTTAATATCGTTAAATAACCCGTAAACAAATCTTTTGATTACTTAAAATATAATATGCATTAACTGAAAAAAAAAAAAGTATTTTATCTCAGCTCATTGTCGAGGCAACGTTTCTCATTTTTTGTTTAGTACATAAAGTACATAAAAATAACCAAAACTTAAATAAAATCTAGACATAATTTTGCCAAACTATAATTACTAAATGAACTACAAATAAAATGAAAACAGAAACTATAAATTCTTATTTAAAATATTAACAAAACTATAATAGAATATCATCATTTTTAGATTTGTACTGTTTTCTTGTTGCTTTGATTCTATTATTTTGTTCTATTTTATGTTATACAAAGGGTGATTATTATTAGTATTAGTATTTTTTTTTTTTTTATCATCTCTAACTTGTACATCTCATTTTTTCTTCTCTTTTTAGTTAATTTGGTTGTAATAATTGCGCCCACCATTCTTCTTGTGGTCCTGATCCTGGTGGGAATCTGTTTGTTTAAAATGCTATACAAGTAAGTCAATTTTATAAAGTTTTTTTTATTTTTAGTTGGCATATTTGTTTATATTTTCTAGGGCTGTCCTCGACTAAAGATTTTTCTAGTCGACTTTTAGTCGTTCATTTAATGCTGGGTACACACCAAAGGGTTTTATTACATCTTATAAGATTTTCAAAATATGATAGACCACAAACATGAGGAGAAAAAAATCCTAGATTTAACCGTTTTGCTCCTATAGTGTGTGGTGTGATAATAATGAGCCTTTAATTGCCTACATATCATAATCAGAGCTCAAGCGCACATATAAAGCTTGCCACAGCACACCGTCAAAAGTCATTATTAACGTATAACATTGTCATGAAAAAACAGCAGGGAGACTCTAACAGTTTAATAATTTTTTATTGAACTAGCGTTTTCTTTATTTTGGGTTGCAGTGATGAAGTTGACGACGCTGACTCGTCATCTCCGCAGAATTGTGCATGCACCTATCTGGCCTTTCCTTTTAAAGGATTAGTTTTGAAAAAACTTTTGCTGATAATTTACTCACCCCCATGTCATCCAAGATGTCCATGTCTTTCTTTCCTCAGTCGAAAAGAAATTTAGGTTTTTGATGAAAACATTCCAGGATTTTTCTCCATATAATGGACTTCAATGGGAACCGGATGGTTCAAGTATCAAAAGACGGTTAATAACAGTTTCAGATGCAGCTTCAAATGTCTTTAAACGACATCAGACGATGAATAAGGGTCTTATCATGCGAAACGATCGGTTATTTCAAAACTTATTCCAAAAATGTAACTTTTAATAAGGACAAATGCTAGCCTTGCTATATTCTGTGAGGCGCGTTTGCAACGTCACGTATTACGTAATTACGTTCAAAAGGTCACGGGCGACGTAGCCGAAAGTACAGAGTCAGTGTTTACAAGTTGAACGCATAGGTTGAACGTGCAAACTAACTCAAACACCGTTTACAAAAAAGGAATTAAAAGGAAAAACAACAATGTCGGACGATTTTGATTCTGTACTTCCGGCTACGTCGCCCGTGACCTTTTGAACGTAATTACGTATTACGTGACGTTACAAACGCGCCTCAGAAAATATAGCAAGGCTAGCATTTGTCCTTATAAAAGTTACATTTTTGGAATAAGCTTTGAAATAACCGATCGTTTCGCATGATAAGACCCTTATTCATCGTCTGGTGTCGTTTAAAGACATTTGAAGCTGCATCTGAAACTGCTATTAACTGTCTTTTGGACCTTGAACCATCCGGTTCCCATTGAAGTCCATTATATGGAGAAAAATCCTGGAATGTTTTCATCAAAAACCTAAATTTCTTTTCGACTGAGGAAAGAAAGACATGGACATCTTGGATGACATGGGGGTGAGTAAATTATCAGCAAAAGTTTTTTCAAAAGTGAACTAATCCTTTAAGGCTTTCGGGATGTAAATGACCTGTTGCGTCAAGAAGTTTACAAAAACACTTGTGCACATTAAGACCGGAAATGTGCATTAACAAAGTAAATAGTTTTTTAAAGTCAACCTGAAATCAAAACTGACCTAACGATAAAAGTTCTGACTCTGTATTTTCCGTGTCGTGTCTGACTTAAGATGGAGGAAGGGTCACATATGTTAAGATTCATTGGAGCACAGCATGCTTATCTCAGTTCAGTTACGGTCTGTTACCAGTCCTGTTATCAAACACAACAGACAGTCTCAGCATTGCCTATGTGCACACACCAGTGATTCCCAGCATGCCCTAATAGATTCCACAGCCACTGGTGTCAATAAAACATCGAGTGTAAGCTGATATGAGTGAGCATGTTGTGATTCCAAGGCAACACATTGCAGCGATATTTAGATTCGTGAAGAATGGGGTGACTGAGGGTTGAGGGTCAAAGGTCAGTATCAGGAGATGTGCCAGCTGCATTAGTCCCCTGAGAGAGCGCTCAGGGACAGGGGCATTGTGGGGAAATGAGGATGGATGAATGAAAAGCTCTTATGGACATGTTTCAAGGGAATAGTAAGGCATCTTCTCTCGTTTAAGAGTGATGAAGGTGGTGAGCGACCCTAGAATGTGCCACCTGTGTCTCTGACACTGGTGTTTTTCACTGTCCCACAGTAAGAAGACAAAGGAGAACACGTACGGCTCTGCAGAGAACCATCATACAGGTAAAACATTCGCTTTAACTCAACTGGCTGGGACACTCCATCCATAGGAACATTTTAAACTGCTGTTTTCCATAAAATCTTGTGCTTATCAAACAGACTTTGTTTGTTGTGATCACCTATGATTATATGTTTGTTTTCTGAATAAGATAATATAGATCTGGAATAGAGCACATTTATGGTGCTTTCGTTAGTTTTCGTGAATCTCTCGTTTTGTACAGATTTATAACAGCTTGAAGGGGAGTAAATAATGTCAAAATATTAGTTGTTAGGTGAACTTTTCCTTTACCTTTGGTTTCAGAATAACATAAAATGCAGAAAAGCGTGCAATGCACACTTTTGCATTAATAAAACGTCATATATGAAGGATAGAATGTGATTTAGAAATTTATTTTTTTACCTTTATTATTCTTCAAATCTTCAAAAAAAAACTCTTAGTCATCATGACGGATCCCTTCCCAATATATATGCTGTGTTCTGCACTTTCAGACATGTATAATTTAAGGCTTAGCTGCTTGACTCGCACAGAGACCGGCTGACAGATAAATGATTCTTGTCTACAGGCTGTTGGAGACAGATAAAACAGCCGTTTGCCAGACACCAGTCCACAGAGTTCACCATCAAATACAGCTCCGAGAAGGACCCCATCCAGAAGCTGGACCTGGTTACCAGGGAAATGGCAGGTAAAGATTGACCGAATTTGATGAAGTTTCTTTACACAGTGTCCCATCCATTATCAAGCATGTTTTCTGTCCTCACTGATGATCACACATGTGTTGTGGAAGCTGCTGGAAGACTGTTGCACATTAAAGAAAGTCATTTTTTTATTCATTCATTACATTGATCGAAAGTGACACTCCTTTATCTTATAAGACATTTTGATTTCATATAAATGCTGTTCTTTTTCGCTTTTATTCATTAAGGAATCCTGAAAAAATTCAACGTTGATAACAATAATTGTTTCTTGAGCAGCAAATCAGCATATTAGAATGATTTCTGAAGGGTCATGTGACACTGAAGACTGGAGTAATGATACTGAAAATTCAGCTTTATCACAGGAATAAATTACATTTTAACATATCTTTTTTAAATTGTAATAATATTTCACAATATTACTGTTTCTAGTTTCTACTATATTTTTGATCAAATAAATGCAGCCTTGGTGAGCATAAGAAACTGTTCAAAAACACACACACACACACACACACACACATATATATATATATATATATATATATATATATGTATATGTTTTTTTTAATAGTATAAATGACTATAATAATCCAATGCAATATAACAGTTGAGCCGCTAGCATGTTAAATTTAAAACATAATTAAATGTTAAATAATCCCCAACAAATGAAGCAACAAGCTACCAGACGGGACCGTAATAGTGACCAACAAAATATCTCATAGCAGTTTGCTTGTCATATTCTGAGCAAAATGATTTTACATAAGAGATATTATATAATGATTTGTTTTATTGCTTGTTATGCTCTGTTAGGACAATTTGTTCAAATATGGACTCAAAGAGTGTTGATATTTCTGGCCGCAGCTGAAGTCTGAGAGGAGACGGCACACTTTCTCAAGCTGAGTTTTTTTTATTGACTGATTATAAAGGAGTTCAACTTGTGAGGCCATTTTTCTTCCTGCAATGTGCCAAGGGAGTTCAAAAACCCTTATTGAAATAGTGGTAACAGCCTGAACGCTTGCTGATATTTAATTGTCAGTTTTCCCCCTACTCTCCTCCAAGGCTGTAATTATTGATGATTCAAGGTTTGTGCAAGACGTCAGACAGATTACAGGCACTCCGATTTCAAGCCTGGCACTTAACTTGGAGTCTCTTTGAGCAAATACTGAAACGTTTTATTGATTTCCTTTTTGCTATAACATTTTCTTTCATGTTGATGCCATAAGAGTTCATGGTGCCATATTTATGATCATGGCTTATTGGTTAGCCAGGTATGTTTCTGGATAGCTAGACAATAAACCAAAGAACAGCAAAACCTGGTTTATGCTGGCATGGACCTACCTAGTTTATAGGGACAAGTTTAAGCTACTTTTCTCACCCTTATATATTGTTCCAAACCTGTATGACTTTCTTTCATCTGTGGAAGTGTTTTCATCTATAAAATGGGGTCCAAAACAACACTGCACCCTTCTGAGTTTCATTGTAATTAGTATGGAACAATAAACAGTGTTATTTTAAACTGGGGAAAAAAAGTGTTACATTGATATTTTGTAGTTTTTGTTAATATTTTAGATTCGATTTTATTTTTTTGTATTTGATTTTATTTTCGGTTTTAATTTTAGTTCAATTTTAGTGATTTTTTTATGTCTATGTAGTTTATATGTTTTCATTTGACTTAATTTAGCTTTAGTTATTTTAAAATTATTTTATTTCTGCTAGTGGCCCATGCAAAATTTCTCTTTTTCTTTATTTTAAAGTTAATTTCAAATTCAAATAATGATTATATATATATATATATATATATATATATATATAATATATAGTTTTAGATTTAGTTATCAATAATAACAATGACTAAAACTACTACAAATTGTTTTTTGAATTTGAAATAAAGCTGAAATAAAATTAAATAAAAATATTAGATGAAAAACCTATGAAGAAATGTTGCCTTGGAAAATTGCTGAAATAAATGTTTAAGGTTGAAGTTCTAAAATTACTAGAACTGTAAAAAAAAAAAAAAAAAATTAAACTAAACCAAAAACTGGAAATATAAAAATAAGAGCTAATTCAAAATACTAAAACAGTATATTAATAATACTAAAATAACACATCCTGTAAACGCTGAGGCATTTTTAGTGCAACTATTCCATTACTAACACTTTCTCTCTTCTTTTAAGCCGAATACCAGCAGCCACTCATGCTCGGCACGGACACTGTGTCTCGAAAAGGCTCGACGTTTAGGCCCATGGACACCGAGGCCAAAGACAAGGACAGCGAGGCTACTTCTCACTACGACCAACTGCAGACGGGCATCCAGTACGCCTTGCCACTGACCAATCAGGAGCCAGAGTACGCCACGCCCATCATCGAGCGCCACGCCTTCCGCAAAGATCCCTTCCTTCCTGATCCCAGCTACAGCGTCCCAGGGGTGGTCCTAAACAAAAGCCCGTCGTTTCGAGCAGTAGAGGGCAGCAATTGCAGGAAAGTGATCGGAGGACTGGCTGGGGGCTACCAGACTCCCCAAGTCAAACTAGACAGGGGCAATTACCCAGAGGACATCTACGACAGCCCTAAAATCCAGAAGCCCGTCGTGAAGAACGGTAGTTGCTCGGCGTACCAAAGACCCCAGATTAAGTCCCCGGAGCAGGAGTGCTATTCCACTCCGAGAGACTGCGTCAGACTGCCCTTCTCTGGACTCAGACCCGACCCGGAGGGCAGCAGCTCAGAGGGAAGCTGAGAAGAAACACACTGTGATGTCCCTGATTTTCTTGACTCAACAAAATCACCTCCAGACTATTCTTAACTTATTTGTGTATGAGGGACTCCTTTTTTGTGTATTTCCGAGGCCGTGATCAGTTTGTGTAATTTAAAGTTTTTTTTGTATATGCGAGATACTTTGTCTTGACGAATCAAGATCTTTTATTTTTAATATTTCCAGTTTTACTTTCAATCAAATGCAATATACAGGGAGAACTGCGACGACGCATTTGTTCCCGTCAGACACAAACTGTGAATGTAAACCAGATTTTCATGTTTTCTACCATGTGACCATTATCTGATCTTCTCTGAACATGGACAACTTCACAGATTTTCAACCAGCTTTGTATTATGTCAGTCATATATGTAAATGACCAATGTGTGCTCTTTCTCCATGTGTCCTGCACCATGTTTATTTGTCGGCAAATTTAATGTTTGTGCGATGCTTTTGGTGATGTCTAGGTGAAGATAACATGGAGAAAGACTATAAACTGTTCATTTACAGATACTGTTCTAACAACACAAAGCTGTTTGACAATCGGCAAAGGTCTACAGATGGAAAATAAGATGTTAAAGCAAGCAGATCCGAAGCTCTCTTGGTGATCTTTGGGAACTTCGCAGTTGCTTTGGTTCTTCTCATAAAAGATGACTTAGAGGCTTCATGTTCGTGTCTGAACTAGCTCTACACCAATCAAAACACATGAAATAAGGTGGAAACACTATTTTAACGCAAAATAGTGGAAGCAAACTGAAAAAAAAATGTTTGTTCCCATAATGCAAGTGAAATGATGATCTGATTTTGACATCCAGCTCGTTTTTTAATCAGAATTGGGTATAAGGATTGTTAGATTCAGCCATTTTGGACCGTTTTTCATCTCATTCTGCTGTGTGCAATTAACAATGTTGAATCTCAGATGATCTGATCTTTTGTCCATGCTGTATATTGATGTTGATTTCGTGGTTTTGGACGCCCCTTGTTCCATGTGCAAACTGAGCAATAACAGACTAAAATTTCTTCTCAGATCCTGGTTTTATTTGGATTGTCTATATGCATATGTATATGTACAGTTTTGAAATGTATATTTTTTTTTTTTTTTTTCAACATTGTATTTATTGATTTTAGAAACATTTACATTAAAACAAGCACAGAAAGAAAAATAAAATACAAAAATACAAAATAAAAATTAAATAAATAATAATAAAAAAAAAGAAATAATAATAAAAACAACAACGACAACAACTATACTATACAAATGTCAAGACAATGGTACATTAATAACATAATTTGTTATTCCTGGTTACACCGAAAATAAACTATTAGGTTCAGCTTCCTTTAAAAATTCTATAAAGGGGTTCCAAACTTTGAAAAACTTTCCAGATTTTCCTTTAACAATATATGTGAGTTTCTCCAAAGCCAAACAACCTGACAATTCCTGTAACCATTGTTTAAAATTAGGGATTTCTGTGTTTTTCCAATGACGGGCAACTAAAAGTTTTGCTTGTAATAAACAGAAGGTTAACATTTTCTTACCAGAGTTAGTTAGAGTGCAAGTAACAGGGAACAAATTAAATATACAAAGTTTGGGACATTTGGGGACATTCTGTTTCACCACCAGTGACAAAAAGTCCAGAACCTTTTCCCAATAAAGTTGAACTTGAGGGCACTTCCATAGACAATGGAATAAAGTTCCTATCTCTGAGTTGCATTTTATACATTGATTGGGGATATTGGGATTAAATTTATGAAGCAATTCTGGAGTTATGTATACTCTCATTATCCACTTGTACTGCAGAAGTTTAAACCTGGTATTGATTGTTTGGGTTTGGGCCTTTAAACAGATACTCTGCCATTCATCTTCTGTTATATTCTCACTTATATCTTGACACCAAGCCAAACGCTTTTTCTCTGTATTTTCTTTACAGTTAGTGGAAATCAGTTTATAAAACAGGGAAACTTGCCCAGCACCATTAAGGTGGTTTAGAGTAATTCTTTCTAAAGGGGACAGCTCTGGTAAGAGAAGAGAAAGATGTTGTGTTTTGTTGATAAAATTCCTAATTTGAAGATATTTAAAAAAATGGGTTTTTGGCAAATCAAACTTGTGTCTTAATTCCTGAAAACTGAGCATAGTTTCATCGTTAAATAAATCTGCCACCTTGTTCAAACCTTTTGATGCCCAAATTTTAAAACCCCCATCATGTGTCCCCGGTGTAAACATAGTGTTTCCCCAAATAGGGGTAAATTGTGATAATTCTGGAATCTGTCCAATATGTTTCAAAACTTCATACCATACCACAATAGTATTTTTAACAAAGGGGTTGGGAGTGGCTTTTTTCAGTTTGGACAGGGGTGCTGAATACAGATACAGGTTCAAAGGCAATTTCTGAGTTGTACTCGCCTCTATCTGTATCCAAGGGATAGAATTATCATTTGTAAACCAAAACATTGCTGCTCTTAGCTGAGCTGCCCAGTAGTACCACTTAAGATTAGGCACCTGCAACCCTCCCCTTTCATATGGTAAATACAAAAGAGAGAGCCTCAGCCTGGGACGTCGATTTGCCCAAATAAAATTGGTAAACAGTTTCTTCATATTACAGAAAAAATTCTGTGGTGGGGGGAGAGGGATTGATTGAAATAAATATAAAAATTTTGGGAGAACATTCATTTTTAATATATTTATACGTCCAATCTGAGAAATTGGTAGGGAAGACCATTTATTAATTGACTCAGTGACTAATTTAGTTGTATGATTATAATTACTGGTAACCAAATTCTTTATATCTGCGGTGATATTAATACCAAGATATTTAAAATCTTCATGAACATTTTTAAAGGGGGTCTGAAAGGGAGGTGTAAGACGTTCTGTTTCTTTTAGAAATAGGATCATAGATTTTGACTCATTCACTTTATAACCGGAAAAGGATCCAAATAATTTAATTAGGCACAATAAAGAAGGCACAGATGTGCTTAAATTAGATAGAAATAATATAATGTCATCAGCATATAAAGCTATTTTATTTTCAAGACCGCCAATTGTAATCCCTGATATATCTCCACTTCTTCGTACTGCAATAGCCAAAGGCTCAATAGCCAATGTAAAAAGGAGCGGCGAAAGGGGGCATCCCTGACGTGTGCCTCGAGAAAGTGGAAAAGATTTAGAGATTGTATTATTAGTCAATATCTCTGCTGTGGGTTTTGAATATAAAATTTTAATCCATTTTATAAAATACGGACCGAAACCAAAATAAGAAAGTGTATCAAAAAGATAGTCCCACTCCACCCTATCAAAAGCCTTCTCGGCATCTAACGAAAGTAAAGCTGTATCCGAGACTCCTTTTGTTGAGTGTATAACATTTAACACACGCCGTATATTATGAAAAGCTTGTCTACCTCTTATGAAGCCATTTTGATCAGGATCAATCAGTAAAGGCAAGTACTTATCAAGTCTACTGGCTAGAACTTTAGCAATTATCTTTGTGTCAGAATTTAAAAGACTAATAGGCCTATAAGAGCCACATTTCGTAGGATCTTTCCCTGGCTTAGGAATTAAAGTTATGAGGGCTGAACGCAAGGAGGGGGGAAGTTCTCCAATATTGAATGATTCATTTATCATGTCAATTAATGGGGTTATCAATTTGTCACGAAAGATCTTGTAGATGTCTATAGGTAGACCATCAGGACCTGATGCTTTCCCACGATTCATACAGTCAATAGCTGCATTCAGATCAGTTACTGCAATTGGTTGATCCAATACTTTGGAGTCTTCCTCAGACAATGACTGTATCTGAATCTCATCCATGAATTTTTTTAAATGGTGGGTATTCTGCAGGGGTGTCGATTTATAAAGATCTTCATAATATTTTCTAAAAGCATTATTGATTTCAGTTGGGATCGTGGTGTTCTGTCCATCTACAGTTTCTATCTTGTTAATCCCCCCTTCATTTTGTTGAGTCTTAATTCGCCATGCCAATAACCTCCCAGCCTTTTCTCCTTGGTCATAATATGTTTGTTTTAGCCTAGTTATATTAGCCGCAGCTTTATTAGTAGAGATGTCATTAAATTCTGCTTTAAGTAGCAAAAGTTTATGTCTCAGTTCAGGAGTATCTTGTTTGAAAATTTCTTCTTCTAAGTCCTTTATACTCTGTTCCAATTCAATCATTTTAAGGGCAGATCTGTTTGTCTTAGAACTAGTAAAGCTGATAATTTGCCCCCTAATATAGGCCTTAAATGCTTCCCATCGTATTGAAGCGGACGTCTGATTTGTATTAAACTCAAAAAATATGTCAATTTGATTTCCAACAAACTCGAGAAAATGAGGGTTATGTAGCCACTTTATATTTAGACGCCATCTAGATGGGCTTTTGATTATGGTTCTGAGAGTATATTTCAGTGATAATGCTGCATGATCTGATAAAACAATACTACTATATTTACAGTTAGATATATAATCAATCAAATCCTTTGAAATAAGAAAATAGTCTATTCTGGAGTAGGTATGGAAAGATGAGGAGTAACAAGAAAATTCTTTCTTTGATGGGTTTTGAAGTCTCCAGACATCGCTTAAATTAAGGTCCTTGATGTATTGATTAATAATGTTCCTACTCTGCGAATGTGAAGTGTCAACACCCGTGGAACGGTCCAATTTAGGATCTAAGGTACAATTAAAGTCACCAGCGACTATTAAGATACCTTGAAGGGAAGCTAAAATTAAGAAAAGATTATGAAAGAAATTTGGTTCATCTGTATTAGGACCATAAACATTTACAAGATTACAATATTCGTTGAGCATTCTACCACTGATTATAACATATCTACCCAATGGATCACGAATAGTTTTTAATATATGAAATGGGACTGATTTATGTATCAGCACAGCTACCCCTCTTGAGTGCGAGCTATGTGATGCTGCTATAACCTGCCCCGGCCATCTTCTACGCAGTTTAATGATTTCGCCGGACAATAGATGCGTTTCTTGCAGGAATAGTATTTTAGGATGGAGGTAGTTAACTCTGTTCATCACTTGTTTCAATTTAGTAAAGTTACAAAGCCCCCGCACATTCCAAGATGTCAATGTAAGACTAGAATCCCCTGACATTTGCAACAACGTTTAATATTCTAATTCTTGGTAGTCCAAACATTAATGATCTGTCCCAATAAACACCCTGTAGCCTTTTTGTAAAGTACAAAAATGTACCAAAAAAAAAAAAACAAACAAACTGAATTGCAAGTATAAATGTATAGTAGTAAAAAAAAAAAAAAAAAAAAAAAAAAAACACACACACACACACACAATCCCCAGCACATGCACTAGATAGAACACACAGATGCACGGCGAACCTCCCTTTTCAACTAGAACTTTACCTTGGTTACGTACTCTTGCGGTCCTTTAATAGGAACGCTATTAGGTTACTGAATTAAGAGAAAAAGAGAACAAAAGAATATAGTGTCCAAAACAAAAATAATAAACACACGCTCTCAGAAGACAAGTATTGTGACCCCTTAACCAAAAGAAAAAACGCTACATAATCAGCTTACTTGATTCTGCTTAGTATTCAAAACAAAGCTTTTACAAAATTTGAGAAAACAAAAAAAAAAAAAAAAAAAACGATTAACCTTAAGTTTTATATGGCATTTTCAGACTAAGCGTCCGACAAAATTTTAACTGAAAGTTCAGTACTAAAGTGGACGATTAAACTTCAATGCAAAGTGTCAAAAAGAACAACATGTTACTCAGACGTTGGCTGCTCCGCTTCCCGAACATCCTTTGGCAAGGTCGCGATGAATTTGCCTGCTTCTTCAGGAGAGTCGAAGAAATGACGATGGTCTCTGAAGATAACCATAAGCTTAGCGGGGAAAATCATCCCGTACTTAATCTTCCTCTTCCGAAGCTCTATTTTCACCTCCTCAAATCGCTTCCGTTGTTTTAACACCTCGGACGATAGATCGGGAAAAAACATAATATGGTGATCCTGGAACATCACTGTACCTCTTGCCCGGGCTGCTCTGAGTATTCTGTCTTTGTCGGCATAGTTGAGTAATTTCAGTATCATTGTTTTGGGCCTTGA